AACATTTATATCTTTTGCTTTATTCTTTACAACATTTTAGACTAGATTTCTTTATGTTAGGAGAACGATGAACCATATAATATAAGTTTTTAATTTTTAATTTTATATATTTGACATTAAAAACGCGTTTTTGATATTGAATGATTTATATGATTTTATTTTCTCCACAACTATTGTGCACGGTAGTTGTGTGAATGTGGAAACTTATTTTATGCATTCGAAAAAAGGAAAATATGTTCGACATATATAAATTATTATAGGGTCCGATAAGGGATATAAATATACCGCTATGCCTTTTTTGAATCTCTAAGTGTCTATAAAAATTTATGCACTTTTATATGTTCGCATCCATCATAGAAATATAGTTGGATCATATATAAAAGTAGGTTTAACATTACTCGAGAGATATTGTTAAATAAAATAGGAACATTGATTCGTCAAAATTCAATCGTGTTGTCAATGTGTAAAACTAGAGTTAAAACTGATTATTGCATGGGAATTTGGGAAGGATCATGCAAACAGTAAATTTAAACACATTAATTTGCATTTAGAATAATTTATATTTAGTTTAGTTAATTTACTGATTATTTCATAAGTAGATTAATTTATTCATAATTTTGTCACAACAAATACATCATATTATTCTTGTTTCGGTTAATGTCGCGTTAATTAAAATTAAACTAACCAACATCTATATGACTATACTTTGACTCAAAATTCTCTTTATTGCTTGTTAACGAACCGTACACTTGTAATAATTTTAATTCGATATATATTTCAGTGAACAAATATATTTAGCGATATACAATTATTCTAATAGAACAAAGATGGCAAAACATCACGTGCTCGTCCCGTCTGCTCCCATTTTGTACTTTTGTTTTGTCATGAATAAGACGTGAAATTCCCGATTTGTTAGACAATTAGAATGGAGACGGAGAATAAGGTCCACCCTTATTTAAAGTGACATCCTTTCTATTTTTGGACTCGACTTTGTTGCAACGAAAGGTATTCCAAGTTGAAAGTAATTAAAATGTCCATCCCTAAAATTTTCCGTGACCAAAAAGAAACAGTGATTGAGCTGCTACAAAATTAGCAACATGTTTAACTTTTGTTTGGTCCCCATTATTTTCAAAATATATTTTTTTTCTTTTATTTTCAACAACACATTAAAATGCATTTTGGGCCAAAAAAGGGGCTCAAACAGGCGCTTAATACCTATTTAGTTTAGATTTTGGATCGTTCAGTGCCCATGATGAGATGTCCTCAACGATTCCTTCAATTCTTGTTTAGCCCTCCCCTTAGTGGACATACTATTTTATTGAAGACATTTTTCCACTTCATCACGAGTGAAGGGCAAAACGGTCTCGAGTGATTGAAGAAATTGGAGGTTGATGTCCGATAATGTCTCCGTCAACTAAGTATATAAAGGCAAAAAGATCGATTTTCAAGCAAAAAAACGAATAATACAGACAATTAAGATTTTGTTCCAAAAATCCAAAAAAAACTGAAATTTAGTCAGTGTTTGGCCTCCATTTAATTTTAAGCTATAGTTCATCGAATTTTCAATTTTTATTAATTTTTTAATCATATGTTTCATTAATTTTATCCAAAATTTACTATAAATCTTATTTTTAGCAAAATCAAACTCGGGCTAAATTTCTGAACTGTACAGCACCATTTTCATTTTCAAGCCCGAGCGTTCCTCGGGGGTGTCAAGTGTGTCTCCATTTACAATGGCGGTGTTGTGTCTCAGCTTCATTCACATTTGGGCCTCCAGCACTAAGCCCAGTGAAGTGGCCCATGGCCCGTGAGAACTCTCCCACAAAAAAACATAAATCGGGGTTTTACTACGATTTCATTGATAGTCACTCGATTTTGCACTTCCATTACCATTAAATTTTAAAAGTTATTCAATTTGTTATTGAATTTATCAAAGTGTTATCTAATCCATCTTTCACTATTCAAAAATTTAATGGACTCGATGAACTTATCGAAATGTTATTTTTATTGTCATTAAGAGCTTGTTTGGTAGAGATTAAAATCAGATTAAAATTGAAAAACTAGCCGTTATTGTTGACATTTATTAAACGAGTGGGACCCAATAACGGCTATATTTTGGATTTTAATTGCTACCAAATAAGCTCTAAGTTCGTTAACTTTTAAAAATTTATTTTTCGTACTCATTTCAATCACACATTCATACAATAAAATACTTTGACTTTAGATTTGGTTCGATTAGAGCAAAATCTCGATTAGAAGTTGGGTTAGACCAATAACTAGCTAAGATCACACACTTAAGTACGACTTTGATTCCCAACAATGACTAACTACGCAATGATTCCGGATATGAAATTCGATAATGTACGCACGAAGGGAACAGATTGAGATTCATACAGATAATTCATCCACATAACAAGGAAAAAAATCTTACATGGTCAATACTAGAAAAAGGTACACGAATTTTATCCTTTTGCAACTATAGTAGACTCCTATACCAAGATAAGTAGCAAACCAAAAATCCAATATGATGAAGAGAGCATGCCCTGGAGGCTTAATCGAACTCACTTAAACAGTCCCATGCCAATGCCAGCTTCTCCTCCGAATGGTCCAGGGCTTCCCAGAGCCTTGTAATAAGAAATATAGTAAAACTCGGAGATAATGCCAGTGAAGAAAATGAAAGACGCTCCTGCTGCAAAAACTCCTTTCCTCACGGTCTCACAAGATGGAGGGTTTTCGAAAAACCGCGTCCTATACTTGGTGTGATAAGCATTCCTCACCGATCCAGCCAGCAAGCAAACCTCAGCAATGAAAAATGTCACCCTGGATCACAATTGCATATTCAGATGTTAAATTTTCTTACAGAAAATAGATTTTGTATGGTTGAAATGAGCATGTACCAGCAAAAGCCGAAAAGAAGAACTGCACACGCCCTCGAACTTCCAGGACTTAGAGCCTTGCCACAGCAGAAGCATCTACTGGTAAACATTACGAGTGCTTGACTCGCCATGAGGAAAAAAAATGCGCCGACTCCAAATCCAGTAGAAATATCAGAATCATATACGCAATAGTTATAATTACTCTCGTTATCCAACTTTATCGTGGCCTGTCAACATCGACACGATCAATACGTTAGGAAAAAAATTCGTACTGAGAACCATGAAAAGATGCTAGCTAGACACGTATATGCTAGGAACAAGATTTCTGTTGCTTGAAATTCAGATTTCATTTTATTGGAATTTCTTAAATCTGGAATGTATATGCATTGCTATGGTTTTCAATAGTTTCCTGTTGAGATTATTCAATCGAGAGCAATTAGTTAGCATAAAGAAAAATAAACGCACAACAACACACAAGATTTATAGAGATTTGCCTCAACGTAAGACTCCCTTCCGCAGTTGTAGCCTATAGTAATTCATTATGATAATAGAAGTTCACAAGAGAAATTGCAAATCCTATTTTATCCAACCTCTCTTTTATAATGGTTAGAGACGACTCCCTGTTTATGAGACAAATTAGGGTAAAACTGAAATTATAAGTATGAAATTCCTAAGTTGTCCTTAATGAAAATTTGATTCGAGGGGCTCCACTCCCCGCATCCTCCGATTCCCCTTTTCAACGCCCACTATGACCTCACTCTGGAGGTTGATTCGTGTACTCGCTCCGTATATCGACAATAACTAGACTTCACAACTTAACAATTCTGACTGAGAAAAAAAATATATATTGCGATTTTGATACGAATAATGCTATATGGATACCCCTATGCATATAGATGACTAAACAAATTAAGAGAGTGGGGAAAGAAAGAGAAAGACATACAGTGCTTCTTCTTTGCTCAGCAGCAACAGCCAAGGCAAAAGAAATGAGATCGAAAACGAAGACAATGATCATTAACAATTTGGAAGCCATTGAAGTGATTATTCAATTCACCGAGATCTTGATCTCTTTCTCTAGTCCGTTTGCCTATACATTCTGCTTCACTTTGTACATATAGGTGACCAGATTGAGTAAGCAGACAGCAAATATGAAAAGAGAGAGATTTGCCAACAATATTATATGTGACATTTCAACACTTCACCAGCAAGCAAAGCAACAGACTACCAGAAAATAGAAAGTAGGTAAATGATCCAGTTAATTTCAACTACTAATTTCTGCTGGCGATTGAATAAAAAAAGTATGAACATGACTAGGAATTCAAAACAAAATGGAACAAATAAATACGAATATTTTACTTGGAAAATTCCCAAAAATATTCTCCTTTCAGAGAGAATTTGAAAAATGTGACATGACTGAAAGCCAAGTGTTTTGGATTGTAAAATTGAATACACATGAATGTCCTAAGCACATAGCAAGGTCGCTAGAGCATCTCCAGTACTAATGTGGATTGTAATAAAAAGGTTTCGAATGCAACATGTTTAAGACTGTGTCTAGCTGTCAAGAAAAAAATAAACATTGTTAAGAGGACATTTAGATGTAGTGATTCTTCTAGACAGAATGAGTCAGTATAATTTAATATTTTTCTCACTCTCTGTGTTCTTAAATATATATTAGAAATGAAAATTGAATCATAAGCGAAATTAATTTAGGATGGAATTTGATGTCATCTAATCAATGTAATGTACTATCTTCATCCCATTTATATAGGCTGATTTTGTTTTTCACAAGAATTAAAATTTTTTATTTAATTTCATTGAAAAAACAAATTTTGCAATTTTATTTCATAATTTACCCTCGTTTAATTATCAACAATTAGTAGTAAATAATGTGTTTTTGTCCATGTTTCCAAGAAGTGGGAAATGTGTGTATGTATTTGGATAATTCCAAAAAGGTAAATTAAAATCTATATAATTTCAAGATTAAGCCGGAGGAAATGATTATAACTAGGTAAATTAAATAAGAGTATATTAGTAAACGAACAAAACAAATATTTTCTCAATAAAGAAACATGACTATACAAATGGAACAAGAAAATAAAAAATTCTCGGATTATGCTATGTGTACACAATATTTTACACAATCTTTTACACCCCCATGTGCACAATAAAATATTTGTGGGCCCCCCTCCATGTGGGTGGGGGTGGGGGGGGGGAATTGTGTACACCACAATGTGTACACATAGCATTATCCATAAAAAAAGGCAGTCTATATAAATGGGATACCACAGATGATTTAGAAACCAAGGTGGAGAAGTCCTATTTGCATTGTTTGCCCGTGTTTAGTGGTTGAAAACTTGAAATGTGTGCATTACATATGGGGCTAAAGCTTTGTTCACATAAATGATACACAAGGAAATGAGTAATGTTATTCTTCCTTAATCGGGTTACAAACACAGTATATGTGGCTCTAAATGATAGATTAAATGAAATGTGAAATTGAATAACTTATTTAATTTCACATATCATTTAATGTCATATTAACGCCACTTAGATTGTGTTAGTAAACCCAGTGGGGATGAATAGCATTACTCCAAGGACACGGATTTGACGTCTCTTCATCTTATCAAGAAGCAATCTTCAGGATTATGGTAATCTTGTATATTTTCAAATGTAAGGTGGTTATGACCGCTATAGATCTATATTTTGAGAAAGATAAAAATTGAGAAATTAATAGAAGTAATTAAGTCAAAATTAGTTATTTAATATGTATTATGGTTTTTATGCTTTAATCTATATTATTTTTTATATTCGTAGATTTGAAATAAATGTGTAAATGAACTTTAATAAAAGTAAATAAACAAATGCTTATGAAAATTCATGTCCTGGAATAGAGCATGGTCTATTTAAATTATAAATAAATTGAAGCGAATGATGGATAAGTGGATAAAATTTGTAAGTTTTACGAACTGTATGGATAAAAGTAGTTTGAACCAATTATGTTTAATTGGCATTTTAGCAACGAAGTGCGAAAAGGAGACTTGGTATGGTTGCAATTCGCATTGATACATTGAAACAAGAAATATATCCAAAAACACAGGAAGCAAGACGGAAGAGAAAATGAAACTCAAGTCTCAATGACCTAACTCAAGTCATCGAGTACCCATCGTAGTCATTGGACCGTAGTCCGAGAGGCCTATTCCCAAATGTTGGCTTTTTGGACACTCTGGTGTTAATACTAGGTATTGAGGAGTGTTAGGGTTGACGCCTTGAAAGGATGAATGAATTTTGTTGGAAATTGTCTTTTCTTTTATACTTTAGAAGTAGACGAACACACTTGCAGCAATGTTTGCATGTCACACATGTACACATAGCATAAAATGTGTATTCACAAATCAAGATTTGATTTCTTGTAATGCAAAGGGGTAATCACCTACACTTCATAATAGAACAATAAAATTAGTCAACATAAACTACAGGAAATATCACTTTCAACAACCGTATAAATGGTCGTAGAATATACATTATTAGTTGCCGATCATATTAAATGACCAAAGTCAGTCGGCTGTTCGTTGGTTGGCAAAGAAGTATTGACAAATGTATTCAACGACTAATAATATGTTTGGTTGTTGAATATTTTATTTTAGCAACTAAATAATTGGTCGTAAAATGTTTGTATTGACAACCTATTGTCTTTTTAACAACCACTTGTTTGATTGTTGTAACAACTATTTTTGTCATTAAAATACAATAAAAGCAACCAAATTTTAGTTGCCTTTCATTTCAACAACGAAAGAAATAGTCGTTAAAAAATAAAATTGACAACCAATTATTTCAACACCTTCTTAATTTGTCGTTGTATTAATTATTTTTGTTGATAAAATATCATGAACTACAGAAAATGTGGCTTTAGAGACAAAATATTTCGCTAACGGCTTGAATTTCGTAGGTAATAACATTTAGCGACGAAACCAATCTGTCGATAAGTCAAACAGTGAAACCCTTGTCGTTAATTATTTTATTAATATATTGTTATTGTGAATTTAAACTATTAAAAATGCTAGAATATTTAAAAGACATCAATAAGCAAAAAAATTTGAATTGCAAACATTTTCATTCCATGAATTTACCGTTCAAAGTTACACAAAATTACACTAATTTCACTCTTATTTCAATAATCAATACTAACTCAACCTCTTTGCAAAGTGCCGCACACTGTGCTTCATCATTTCAAAAATTGATATATTTGAATGAATATCCTTCATCGTTTGCCAGAGTTAGTATGATACACAAATAAAAATGGACTCAATTGTGATGAACCGACTTCATTCACTTCTCTTTGCAACTAATATAAATTACAAAAAACAATTATTAGAATTTATAAATAAACTGAGAATTAGTTTAGATTGCTAACTTCTTTATAAGAGAAAATTTTAGAGTAAACTTCGACACAAATACTAATTTGGATTCTCATTCTAATATGCGTTTGAAATCAATAGCAAATACTAATTCTTACATAACCGAAAGAAATTAATGTGGAAAAGAGTTTTGACATAGTAATTCAAAAATTATCAAAGATTGAATTGAATTGATAATAAGCAATCATATTTAAAATTTACTAACTTATACCACTTATACAAAACAACATGCATATTTAAATCCCTAAGAAATTAAATTTTTACTGTTCTTTATTGTGAATAACAACTTTAAAATACATCACAAAATTTTTATTTTGATGCAAGAAAATTCTTATATGATCTGTTTTAATATAAATATGTCAAATCAAATTTAAAAAGTAAAGTATGTTCAAACGTGACTATTAGAACGCAAAAATCAATGCATAACTATATTCATTGAATATATCGAGAAAAAAAAAATATATATATATATAAGAGTGTATTTGATGCACATTTTTTACGAGATAATGCATTTTTTGTGATGTGATGGTGAATATGTTGTTAAAAAAGAAGGAAAAATTATTGATGTGATGAAAAATATTATTTTATTGAAAAATGTGTGGTTGAAAATGAGTAGAAGAATGAGAATGTAGCTCAAACAGAGTCTAAAAAATACGCCTTATTTAATTTGTCAAAAGTAGTGACACATCTAGCATTTTACTTTGATTTGCCTAAAATTCAAGTAAACATAATTGATTCATTTCGGTTCAATCCAATCTAATTAGATTCTATACTATTGGAGACATGCACCTCTATTCTAGTAATTCTATGAAAACCAAAATGAGACGATGATAAAAAATCATAAAAATAATTGATAAGAACTTGAAACCAAAAGTCAATTATAAATTCTATTCTCTTGTCAATTTAAGAAACAAAAATACACAAATTCCTTCACAGTTACCATGATTTATTTTATGAAAATATTTATTTTGTAAGAAGATATATATATCTTCCATATATTAAAAGTGGCTATGTAACGGAATTTCTTGTTTTAAACAGATAGCTACACTTTCTTTCAGTGTTTTTATCATAACTCTGTATTCCGATATCCGATTGAGGCGATTCAAAATGCGTTGGAAAGCTAACTCATCTGGCTACAACTTTGATTCGAACATTATTCTCCAATTCGATCACTTTCTATGTCAAAAATAGGTGTCAATATGAG